CTTCTCCATTAAGTGACAGGGTCGGCGTCGGCGTCAGCCTCGAAGTGGGATCGCTTTCACTGCTCATACGCTTCTTTTCTGCAGTCAGCCGCTGCGCCTCCTCATGCCACTGCTTGCTTATGAAATCCGCCGTGGGGAGCTTGACGCGTACCTGTAGGTAAGCCGCTGGTTGCTTGCTGGCCGCAGTCAGTGGTATCGAGATGGCTGTACACACAAAGATCAGATCAGGTGATATATGTCTCATCGAGGATAACACGTGCTTTTATCCCCCTCCTGCGCCTGGAGATCGAGGAGGGCGTGGACGGTGTATGACGCGGACGAAGCGAGAGTTTTTGCGAGGGATTTCATGACCATGGGTAGATGAAGCTCAACGCTGAAGGAGATCTTGTCTGTCCCGACTACAGGGCCAATGCTAATTAGAGAGGGATGGATGGATAAGCTAGATGATGCCGCGAGAGGATACGCGGATACGCACTAGGGCGTGTTGTCATGCCAGCTAAAAGTCATTGAAGAGCCGGTCCGGAAATGTTTTCGGCGTTGGCTGCTGCACGAGACGCGCGCGATGCGCTTGCCAAGTCCGCCAATCGATGGTTCTTGGAGGCCAGTGGCCGAATCGACTAGGAACACTCGATGATGCAATGATCTGGACAAGACGGAGATTGAACGCACTGTAGAACTGGATATTCTGTGGGATAGCCGGGTCTTGAGATAATGTGGTGGGACTGGGAAGGGCGGGTGGTACTCTGTTTATACTGCGATTAACGATTTTGCATGAAACATGGAGGGGATTACGCACACAGACGCCGATGTTGGTGGTGAAGACGACGTTGATGTTGGTGGTAAAGACAACGCCGATGTGGGTGGTAAAGACGACCCCGATGTCGAGGGTCGGGTTATGAGGAGATCTGGGGGTGGTGCAGACCTAGGCATTGTTCACAAGATTCAATGGGGTGTGGTATTGGGCAGATCAGAGTGGCGGCACCTCGCCTTATAAACAACGAGGTGTGTTGTTGTGGGTGCTCACAAAGAACCTTAAAGAGGGAAAAGGCTGTGATAGATGTCTGAGTGTACATAAGGCGAATATTCTGCCTTTGTCGGCTCATTACATTACACAGCACTGCGCTTTTACAAGAGCCGAGAGAATAAGGTCTCTACACGGACCGCGGGTCTTATCAGGCGATGAGGTGCTTTAGCCGGTTCTCTTCATAGGGTGCACTGGTTTTTCCTCGGTCCGATCGGTTCAAGGTAGGACACCTGTTAAAATGTCACAGCTTCGGTCCCTTTCAAGATCTTTGCTAGTATATCGGTTAGTACACGCGCCTGTCATGCGTGTTACTCGTGCGCGCGAAAGCTGGGTTCGACTCCCAGGCAGAGAGATCTTTTTTCTTCTTCTCACCTTTCAACATGTTGCCAGTGAAATCACCTTTCAGGCTTCGCGACATCTGAATTTTTCCTCTCCCAACCGAACATCACACTTCCGAGTCACTGAAAAAGTTATACTTAGAATGTACATTATTTCTTCAGCCTGGAGCATCATCGGAGGAACTCCCCTTCTTCGATCTCCGGAGTTCAACGTACGTGGCGAGGAACCACACAGATATTCCCGGTCAATACTCCACAGTTAAAGCAGTTAAAGTATACAAGTTGCGGCAAAGGGGTGGTGGGTCTGAGGCTCAGCAAGTTCTGGAGTGTTCAAGGAGAGAAAGTTGACAAGAGCATGAATCGAAACTGTAATTTGTGGTCGACAAGATGT